CACACCTCCTCAGGAACACGCTGGACTGTTCTGCTGGGATCCCGACCCATACCCTGTATGACCCTGAGCAAGCACATACCTGGCCTGGGCCTTCCTGCTTCAGCAGTTCTCTCCCTACTTTCACCTAAATGACCCCATTCCCCGCTTCCTGTCATGGAGAAAATATGGCCGAAGGCAAGTTGTACTTGAACAGAAAAACTGGGTCTCTTTCTAAGTCCAGTGAAGAAGCTTCCTGAGTCCTTATTCATTCTAAGTAAAGACTCTCAGTCCTTGGATAATAAACCAATTCTAGGCGGCACAACAGGATGATGGGATCACTTGCTCCCTGAACATATTCCCTTTGGGAGAATTTTCACGTTGTACAAATGAGTATTGGAATGCCCCTCTCTTCTCACATTCTCCTCCACAAACCAAGAGTTTAGACAGAAATTTTGTCTTATTTCAATGAAAGGTTTATTTTTGTTGTTGTTGTTTTGTTTTGAAAACAGTTATTTCCCAAGAAACCTCTTTTACAATATTGTGGAATATTCTTTGCTAGGTTAAATGGTTGCTTCCTTGGCCGCTCAGCCACACAGACTCAGTTGTCTCATTTGTACAATGGGTATAATAATCATATACCTCAAGGGCTTGTGTGAGGATTACATGAGAGGAGAAAAAAAGATCAAATTAGTTTGTAGACAATAAAGCCCTAGACAAATATCAGGTGTGGTTATTGACAATATTTAAAAGGTAAGTCAGTTCAATTGACAAAAGTCAGATCAGAAGTCAAGGAAAAATTAGTTGGAATCTGAGGCTATAGTCTAACGTCTTGAGCAGCGGAAAGATCCCAGGTCTTCCATCATTCTGCGCCCTCCACAGCAGGCTCTGGGGAACAAGCCTTCCCCGGCCTCGTTCCCTTCACCACTCCAGCGGAATGCTGCTGAGTCAGGACCCTCTTGTAGAGCAGCCGAAGAGACTGGTGACAAGAGAACTGATTTATAGTTTCATGTTTCACTGCTCTAGCTCTTCCCTGCCACGCAAAGTGGCATCGCTGCACCTGTCTCGCACTAAGTTTGAAACCTAGGAAATGACCTCAAAACTGAATAGCAGCAAAATCCATAAGCCATCATTGAAATGGCCTATTGACACAGTGATTCTAACAGAGGCATTTCTGATTTTCAAACCCTAAAGAAAGGAGAAGAACCGACGAGAGCTATTCAGCACTCTGTCGCCGTGGGAACTTGTATTTTGTAAGACCTTGAGGTTGGAGCATATATCTCAGCCTGTGTTTTGTATGGCGATACCATAGGCTTCCACCAAGCCATTGTTATTTTCTAAAGGGCGTTTTGCTTCTAAACATTTGCTAGTCAGCCAGCTAGGTTAAAGGTTAGGTGCTGCTGGAGCCATGGAACGAGGTTTCCTTTTTGCGAAAGAATGCCATCTCTGAACAAGTCCAGTCCATACCTGTTTTAATCAGCTGAAGAAGAGGACCGTTTTTTGAGGAACCAGCCTAAAAGTTTCATTATGAGAAATGAAGCTATAGCCGTGACTATTCTTCATTAGCACTTTGCCATACCCTAAAACATACAAAAGAATTATAATTGCACGGCTACATTCCTTTGCATTTGTTTGTTACCCATCTTAAAACATTCGCTTTGGGGGATAAGAGAGGGAAACACGGCTAGAATTGAGAAGACATAAGTAAAGAAAGCATGATAAGGCTTAACAGGAAAGGGTCAGCAACTTAAATGAAGGTCAATGATTTTAAACAGCTGTATAGATAAGGCCTAGCACAGAGAACAATTCAAGACAGCCAAACCCCAAATGGGATAACAAAGTCCAAAGCAAAGTCATTGCAAGAGTTTTCCACAGTCACTTGGAGGCCTTGTGGATGGCAGCATTGCTCTGCTCTTCTTATTATGATTAATCTTTGATTAAAATGTAATCAAAGGTCAAAGGCCAGATCAGTCTAGTATAATTCTAAAGCCTGCTCTGTCCCTAAGTAATCACTTCTCAGAACTTACCTGAAAAATGGAAAAGGTGGACCAGATGGACTTTCTCTTGTTCTCCCCAAACTTAGGATTTTTATGATGCTTAATATTTTGCTTGTGAATTTTGTGAGGAATTTGTACAGAATTCCCTAGGAGACCCCTGGAGATGTGGATATAAATAGAGCTATGGTCATAGGGGACTTGACTCACCAGTTTCATCTTTTTATAAATGGTAAAACTTAAGATCATTAAAGAATTCCTACTTTGTTGAGTGATACTCAATTAAAATACTTAGAACAGACTAAGCTGTGCCTGCTCAAACTGACTGATCAATCCTGACATTTATTTCAAAAAACTCAAAAAAGATCAAAAGCTAGGTACAGGACATTGTCTCTTTACAACAACGAGAAAAGCAACAATACACGGGGAAAGTGAGCAATTTGGTTTGAGTGAGTCAGATTTTTTTGAAATCATTTTCTTCTAAATCTTTGTATTCTTCAAAGAATGCAATAAAATGCATACAAAGGAAGGCCTGGCGATAAGCCCTACTATTTAAGAAGGCATTATTAATGTCCCATAATGATGATATTTCCTTAATTTGAAGAAGTGGAGACAGAGAGAGAAATTTGTAATGTTGAAAGAAAATAGTTCTGCATTGTAGACTCTCAATAAGTATTGATTGGAACTCAAGAACCCTTTTACATCCAATTCTTCTACCACTGTTGTAATTACTGCTCATTCATTCCGTCAACAAAACTCTATTAAGTCCCTGGACTGTAAAATGAAATTTACTAAGAATATGAAGATAAATTGGATGGGTCCTGTCCTTGAGGAGCTCACAGTTTAGGGAGCTAATTTACTGACCACTCAAAAGCAGCAAATTCGGTATGTACCAGGACTGAAGTAATAAGCCTAAAGGAATATTTTGTGGCACACTGATTCATGTTTTAGATAAATCTGGGGCAAACTTTTTAGCAAATCTAACTTCTTTGTAAATGGGGACTCCCTCTAGAAAAAATGTGAAGATTAAACATGAAAATAAATATAAAGGTGATATTAAAAGCCTAAAGCACTATCATCAGGCTGAATATAATGACACAAGTAAGTTCCAAATTCTAAGAATATTCCAAATTCTTCACAGCAGAATCAAAGGTTAGAGCTGGAAAGAAATATGGAAGTCATCTAATCCAATCTTCCCATTCTACAGACTAGAAAACTGAGGTGCTGGGCACAAAGGAACTGACCCAAGAATTCCCAATGTGTTAGTGACACAGTCAGATGTCTTTTCTCACATCACCCTCTGACTTGATACAAAGATGTCGTGGTACGTATTTCCTATGCCATATGCGTGGCAAAAAGAAATGTGATGTATTGCTTCTGTGGGCAGGTATTTTTTTTATGGTGAGCAGCTCGTTGGAAGTTCAGATATTTGCTCACTTGGCAAACATCTTTGGGGATGACGACTCGCCGCCCACAGAAAGAAAACCACAGCTTTTGAACGAGGCTTTGAGTAAAAGTTTAAGCAGCAGCAATAAATGGCAAGTGGCAACGATGGCCTCGGATCAAAGAACAGCCTTTCCCTGGCTACAGTGCCGTCACCACTACTGGTCGTAAAACCCAGGAAAGACCCTTCATGGCATAACCTTAGAAACAGGATGTGACTATAGCTCGATCCCGAAAAAAAAAAAAAATCATGAGATTATCCAAGCCCTAATCGTGCCAAAATCACAGACAGAGGATGTTCAATGAAATGGCAGTTCTGAGAAATTCACTAGATTTCATATTCTTAGCTAGATTCCGAGAGCTGGGAGAATAACCAAGTAACACGTCTTCTCTGCTAGTACTTTGTCTGTAGGACACGATTGAAAATCACGTTCAGAAAATAATAAAAATAAAAAGATTCCCTTAGCTCCTCCAGCTTCCTTCGGTTATACAATAAAGTTCCCCAGTAATGGAGCCATCTGACAGCCTCAGTGTCAGCTCTGGCTGGGGTGTGATGGAGCAGAGACTCCCAGGCTCGGGAGACGCACAGCCTAGATCCCAGGCTGCGCGCTGCTACTAAAATGCTGTGCGGCTGCAGGCGTGCGTGTCTACGGACCCTCCTGAGTCTCGGACTTTCCACTGTGTCATCAGGGCTTAGCGATACCTCCTAGCGCTAGACAGACAAGGGTAACGATCGGGCCCATGGTGGCAGTCATTTCGCTAGACCTCCATCTAGCAGGGCGTTTTTCAGAGAAATAACAAGCTTTCCAGGGGGGAGGACCAGCCGAGTCAGGCCGCTGCCAGGCAACCCACCGTCCCCTCCCCCGGCCCCGGGCGGGTCCTCCCGCTCGCACTGGGCAGAAAACTGCAGCCCCGAGAGGGGATCAGGAAACCGCAGGGGGGGTGGGGGGTGGGGATGGGGATGGAAAATGGGCCCTTCTGACACGCCAGTGCCCACGAGGGTGCCCTCGGGGCCAGGGCCTGCGCTCGCAAACAGGAAGGGTCGGCTCCGCTGCAGTTTGAGTCCGGTTTTCGAGATCAGGGACGGTTTTCTTATTTCTCGGGCGGCAACCGCTTTCCCAACACGTGCCGCATGCAAAGCAACCAGCGCGGCCTCATTGAGCCCGGGAGCAGAGCGAGGGTGGTTGGCGATCGCCCCTCCGAGGGCCACGGCCAAGGCGTTTAGCGTCGTTCCCAAGGCAACTGTTTGTCCCCGAGCGGGAGAGAAGAAGCCAGCCTCGCACCCAGGCTTTTCAAGCGCGCGCGGGCCGGCGGGGCGGGGCGCGGCGCGGGCGAGGGCACTATATCTCCCGGCGGAGGAGCACACAGGCCGTCGCAGTACACGCCCCAGACCGCGCCGCGCCTCCGAGTGCTTAGTTGGCGCTGCCGAGCCTGCTTTCCTCGCTCAGGGCGACGAGGACGCTCTGATTGGCCAGCGCGCCCCTGCAGTGGTTGGCCGGAAAGAGCTGAGCCTCCTGATTGGCCGCTCCGCACCTGCAATGCGTCAAGCCGCGGCGGGCGTGGAGGGCTCCGCGTGAGTGGTCTAGGCTCGCGGGGCAGCCCGCGGCCGCCGGGAGGGAGCGGCCCCGCCGAGGGCGGCCATCTTTACTAGTGGCAGCGAGGGCCGCCCCGGACGCCGAGGGTCTGTTCACGGCGCTCTTCTGCGCAACAGAAGTTTTGTTGGGGGTTCCCCTTTTTTTTTTACTTGGCGGTGGGTTGTGTTGTTTGTGCGCAGGTCCCAGCGATGTGGCGGGGATAGAACTCGCGGGCTGGCGGCTGGGAGCTCAGGGAGCTGAGTGGCCGCCCTGGGACGAGGGGGGTCTCACAGGGCTTTTAGCTGCCGCTTCCGTCAGACCGCTCGGTTTGCTTTCTCTCACCGGGCGCGGGGAGGGCGAATGGATTCCCCTTAAATTTTAGGAGCAAACGTGAGATTTGCTTCCCGGGCATCTTGCTGGCGCTGGAAAGCGGTTCTGGAACGCTCTCCCGCATACGTCATGGTTGCGCTCGCGGCGCGCGGTCCCACCCGCACGGAATGCGGGGTTTTTTGTTGTTGTTGTTGTGTGTGGGTTTTTTTTTTTTTTTTTTTAACTCTAAATCAAACAGCCGTCTTGGAAGCTGTTTATCGCTCCAGAAACAGTGGCCTGCAGGGGCAAAACTGAGCTTGCCTGACAGACATGCTCCGAGATGTTGGCTAAAAAAAAATGTTTTTTGATCATATCAGCTCATTTGCCTTTTTAGGCAACTTCTGTTTGGGTGTGCATCCGGTTTTCAGGCGTCTCTGACGTCCACCCCCCAAAAAAAGAGAAAAACTCCTCTTATCTTTGTAGCAAAAGTGGCCGTCGCTCAGGACTCGCCCTCTCTGCCGGGGACACGGCTGTAAAGAAAGAACATGTTCCCGGCATGGGTTAGAGAGAGGAACACGGAGAAGCCATGGCTGCCTTGGTTGGGCGGGAGGCGACGTCCTTGTTGGTTTTATTTGAGCTGCGTAGGTGCAAGTTCGGTGGATTGTGGCTTATCCGAAGGTGAACGCTGGCGCTGCCTCGGCGTGGGCGTTGCCATGGCTACAGGGAGAGAGGGTTCGTGAATTGCTGGCCCGTAAACCCAGCAAGGCCCGGCCTCTCCGGTTTACAAAGCCTTAGGAGTAATTGACCCCCCTGATTTATACATCCTGGGGCTTTCCCCATTCCCAGCCCCGGCCAAGATTCCTGGATTGATCAATACAGGCACCCATGGGCGTGTCGATGCCATCCCGTATTGACTAATACAGGCGCATTCACTGCCTTGGGTAGATGTTCTGATTAGGTGCCGGGTGTGAGAGTATAATCTTCGTACCACTTGCCTTCTTTTTTGGTTTGTAAGTTGTTGCTCCTCTTACCTGATCTCACCAATTTTGAGTATTTTAATTACTGCCTTTTATGCCTTTTTCCGTAGGCAACCCATCACTGGCACCCTAAAAGGAACACTCCATTTTATTGTGTGTCAGTACACTGTCCATGGACATTGCAAAAGAAAGGAAACTGCAGTTTTGCATAATCTCCATATAGCAACAGCCGCCCGTGCTTCTGTGGAACACACGGTGTTCTTTGGCAGCCGCGGTGCTCGGAGCCGGCACTTGGCTTGCTGTGCGCAGTAGACAGAGCAGAGGACCGCGTCTTCCCAGAGCCTGGGTTTCTTCTGTCGCACAGCCTGCTGGTGAAGGTTGCATGAGATGTGAGTGTTGCCAGCACTGTGTAAGCTGTAAAAATTACTGACATAATGCTCTCTGGTTCCTGGAGCATTTATTGAGTGCCCTTAACTGTCTTGACTTTGAGAGGGGAAGATTTTTCCTTCAGGATTTTCTACGTTGTGGGAAGAACAGATGGACAGACTCAGAGCCAAAATAAACCGTAGGGATCATAGTTTATTTTCTTAATTGAAGGCATAATAGTAATGCAGTCTTATTAGCATATATATAGCATATAGCCAGATATAGGGCCCTTGGGGTCACTAGCTTATCACAGTTTGCCTTGGAATTTCCTGGTTTTAGCACTCAAAGGCCCATGCCCTAGAAAGCCTCTTTGTCCCAGGCAAACTGGGACAGTTGGTCAACCTTGGACTGTTTTCAGTGCCACAAGCTGGGAGGATGAGCAGAATGGGAAGTGAAGGTTCTTACTGTGTAGAGGTGATGAGGGTTCCCTGCAGCTGGAGGGTTACTGGACAAATGGATGTTTTTGTATAAGATAAGTGTGGGCTGACACCTGAAACTCGGCACATCCAAAGTCAAAGTGATCATTTAACCATCTTTATTGTTCTTCCTTCTCTCAGTCCCCACACATGGGTTCTTTAAAAAATATGTATGTGTGTATTTAAAATTACCTATCTAATTCTAATCTTTATCTCCAGTAAAGACTTTACCAAACTTTTAGTCACTTTAGAGTGAAGAAGTTCTTGGTTATACCATGTTACTATTTGCCAGTCCAATGAAGCCTAATGCCATGATTTGTTGCCCATATTCATAATTGAAGGTATGCTACATTTCACTTAGGGGTTTAGTGGAAATAAAGATGTTCTACTTTTCCAGCCAAGTTCATGGACTCCCCTGAATTGTCCTTGGGGAACCCCTGTTCTTCCACTGCCCCATTGCAGTTCTCTTTCCACTCTGTCCCCTTTTACATTCTTTCATCTTTACATTTCTGCTGTCACCATCATAGTTCAAGGCCCTGTTGCTGTTTTCCTAACTCCTGTAAAAGTCTTTATTGGTCTTCCATACCTAGTTCCATCTATGGCCAGCTGATGGAGTAGCTTTTCTAAATCACACTTCTGACTATATCATTTCCCTGCTCAAGCCTCCCTTGGCTTCCCCTGGCTTCTAGGATTAAATCCAGATTTCTTAGGAGTTCCTTCAGGTCCCTCAATAATCTGGCATTGTCATTCCTAATAACCTAGTACCCTTCCCATCTTGTAAATTGAGCCATATAAATTGTTCTTAAGTCTTTGCTTTCCCTACTCATTCTTTATTCATTTGCATTCTTGGCCTAGCTCTCTGTCCAAAAAGTTCTAATATCCGTAAAGCTTTCTTCAAATGCACGGTCATAAAATAACCTCTCCCTCCACTGTGCTTCCTTAGCACTTCATTTCATCCTCTTCTGTTACCACATTGTACTTTTAGTAATAGTATATGGTTACTCAATTCCATAAATATTTGTTAAACAGTTAGCACCATCTCTCTATATAAAGCCTAATACGCACATTGTCCCCTCAGGAGTTCCACCAGGAGACCGGGAGTTCCACCAGGAGACTGGGAGTTCGATTGCTTGCTATGACGTGCGACGACCTCCAGGGGGCGGTGGGAATGAAGGAAGGCCCTGGCTGGCAGCCGGCAGCCAGGAAAGGGAGGCCCCGGCCGGCCCTGATCGCCAGCCAGGCCTAGGGACCCTACCCATGCACGAATTTCGTGCACCAGGCCTCTAGTAGGGATATAAAATGAAACAGATTGGAACCTTGGGTTTGGAGGACTTATATTTTGGTTGGGAGATAATGTGAACCTAAGTAACAGTTTTTCAAGGTAGAAGAAATGACAACTATTTCAGGAATCCGTAGGGGAAAACTCACTTTGCTAGAGGGATGAGAGAAAGCTTTGTGGAGCTGGTAGCACCTGAGCTAGCTTGGAGGGTCAGCAACTTAAATGGATACTCATAGGGAAGGCATTCCATGCAGATGGAATACCAGGAACAAAGCAAGGAGGCCGAAAAGAGCAGGGTATGTTGGGAAAGGAGAAGTTTATTCTGTTATTAAGGGGCTTCATGAGAGACCAGGGTGGGTTTAGGGTGGTTAAGGCTAGCTAGAGAATGACCACACATGCCAGGCAGGAAGATAAAACTATCCTGTTTGCATGAAATCTATTGAAGAGTTTTGAATAGAGACTGACAAAATCGAAGGTTATATATATATATTTACACACACACACACACACACACACACACACAAACACACACTAGGGGCCGAGTGCACGAATTCATGCACCTTGAAAGGAACTGTGGGCTGCGAGGTTGCGGTAGGCACATGGGTGAGTCTTGGCTGGCCCCTCCCGCCACAGACCCCAGTCCCCTGTCTGCTGGTAGCCCCACTCCCATGCGCTGACAGCGCTGGTACCACTCGCACCTGCTGATGGTGTGGAGTGATTGGGGCCGGTGCCAGCAGCAGGTGCGAGCAGGGCTGGTGCCATAAGTGGGTGCAAGTAGCGGCTGCTGCCCTGATTGCCCCTCAGGAGCAGGGGGAGGTAGAGAAGCCCTCAGGGGTGATCAGGGCTGACAGCCGCCATTTGCACCCACTGTTGGCGCCAAGTGATTTAGCGCCAGCAGCAGGTGCGAGCAGGGCTGGTGCCAGCAGCAGGTGTGAACGGAGCAAAGAATTTTCAATAACCGCCAGAGGCTTGCCCCGATGACAGCAACTGGCACCCTGCCTTGGTCTAGCGCCCCCGCTCACCTGCTCCACCAGCCTGCTGCGGCCAACACCCACCATGTTCCACACATGCCCCCTGGTGGTCAGTGCACGTCATAGCGACCAGTTTTTCGGTTGTTCTGCCGTTCAGTCTATTTGCATATTAGCTTTTATTATATAGGATAAGGCTAAGTGTCTGTCCAACCAGCTGATAGGTATGACATGCAGTGATCACCAGGGGGCAGACACTCAACGCAGGAGCTGCTGAGCTGCGGTGACTTGGCAGCGGCAGTTCTTGGGTGACGCACCCCAGAACCAATTCCTCGTGGGGCCACGTGATTTCACCTTCATCGGTGGGTTATGTTGTTGCTGGGGCACTGTCAGCCCCGAATATGGTTTACCGCACACTTGCGTTTGCATTCCACACCCTGTACAACAGCAACTTTGCAGAGTGCCCTCTCATACTCTGGGACCCCTTGGGGGATGTCAGAAAGCTGGTTTCAGTCCAATCCCCATAGGCCAGGCTGAGGAACCCCACCTGCTGGAGGGACCCCACTCACTCCGCAGACGCCCTTTGAGCCGTGGTGCCGCCTCTGGTACGGCTGGCAGGGGAGGGACTGTGGGAGGTTGGCTCCAGGGCGTGTCCAGCCCCTCTCACCCAGTTCCATCCCACCGGCCACCTTCTAATTAAGTTCCTTTCAATGTGCACAAATCCGTGCACCGGGCCACTAGTTTAAGAATAATTGTGTGGCAGCAAAGTGGGAGGTGAATTTTAGAGAGAGACTGTAGACAGGGACACCGATGAAGGCAATAACTATAAGAATAATGGCTAGTATTTACTGAGCACTTCCGGTGTGCCATGCAGTATCTTTACTTACAGTTTATCTCATTTATTGCACACAAAAACCCTGTTATTTCACTCCTTTTCACAAATAAGGAAAGTTAAGCTTAGAGAGGATAAATAACTTATCCGGTTCACCCATGGAGACAGAACAAGAAGTTGAACCAGTTTGCAGTAGCTGGTCTACAAATTAGTTATAATCTGAACGTATTAGCAGTAGAATTAGAGAAGATCCAAGAAATTATCCTCTCTTTAAGTGACAGTATTTTCATACTTTACGTTAGAGGTGAGGAATGAGAATGCCACAAATGTCACCATGGTTGGGCTCAATTCCTGGACTATCTTCTCCAATATTGGTCTCATCATGTATCTCCTACATATTTTTCTACAGTAAATAAGACACCAGTAAGCAGTTATGCCTTACTTTCCAAAAACTCATATTACCAAAATGAAAGGCTATAGATTCTAGTTGGACTTGACCTTCTGTTGGGACTCCTCAGAAACCTCACAAGGAAGTGGCAACAGTACTGGCTTGGATGTGTACCAAGTTAATGCTTCCAAATATTCCTATTGGGAGTGTTCCTCAAATGTGAACTAGAATTTTCAAGGCATTTGCTCCTTTCTTGGCCAATATCTGTTTAAAGATGTTTAATAGTTTCAGGGCACTGGAGTCAGCAACCTCTACATTCTCCCTTTCTCCCCCTGCCCCCCAAAAGGCAGCCATACCAAGGAGCTAGTGAGTGTGCTCTTCAGGAAGCACTGGATCGCTTTGCATTCCCCTTGGTACTCTCCTCCCAATAACTGAAGACTGAAAAAACTTCCTTCTATGCCGCTTCTCCCTACCATTTATACTTTTGGTCTTCTCCTGATTGTAGATGGAAAATTAAAAACTATGTCAAAACTCCTTCAAACCCAGGAAAGGCTTTCACCTTCAAAAATTCTAGTATACATTTTATAACACATTGACTACTATATTTTCTTTGCTAATATTCTTACATCATTCTGTATATCTTTTGTCATTCTGATTAGTTTCTTAAAAACAAATTAACAACAACAACAAAAGACTAACACCTGTCCTGCATATAGTAGTCAGTCTTGATTTGTCATTGTTTTCCTGATTTGTCTTTTCTGTTCAACATTTATCTTTGATGACAGCATCAGCAGTTCAGTGATATTCTAGAAAAAGTTTATTCGTTCAACAATGTTTATTGAATTCTATATAGCAGGTACCTTAGAATGTGAGTACTGATTAATCTCTTGGAGTCATGCTTCTTAGTGGGGTTTTTTTGGGGGAGGGCGGGGGGAGGACAGGATCATCAACACCTTTGAGGGTCTGATAACCTCCCAGAAAAACATATATACATAAAATAATTATGTTGAACCCTGTCATAAAGTCTAGACCAGCGGTTCTCAACCTGTGGGTCGCGACCCCTTTGGGGGTCGAAGGACCCTTTCACAGGGGTCGCCTAAGACCATTGGAAAACACATATATAATTACATATTGTTTTTGTGATTAATCAGTATGCTTTAATTATGTTCAATTTGTAGCAATTAAATTGGGGGTCACCACAACATGAGGAACTGTATTAAAGGGTCGCCGCATTAGGAAGGTTGAGAACCACTGGTCTAGACTTTCTGACTCTTTCAAAACCAAAACAAAAAAACCTTTTTTTTTTAATCCTCACCCAAGGATATTTTTCCATTGATTTTTAGAGAGTGGAAAAGAGAGGGAAAGACAGAAATATTGATGTGAGAGAAACACATGATTGGTTGCTGGGGAGGAGCCTGTTTACCGGAGTAGAACCTGGGACCCTTCGGTCCGCAGGCCAACGCTCTATCCACTGAGCAAAACTGGCCAGGGCCAAAACAAAAAAACTTTAAACCAAAAGATCCTCTTCAGTGTGATGTGGTTAGTGTTTACCACTGTGTGAACACATATGATCTCTATATCGATAAGTGTGTATGTAGTCATTCATATGTAATTGATCATCTAATATTAAAGGGAACTATATTAATATTTGAACTGTTTGGTTTTTTATTTTATCAAATAAGACTCTAAGGCAAAAACTGGCCATTTTTCTGCTACTAGAATTTGGAAGGCAAAACACATTCTAGCATTGTTTTTTCTTTAAGGTAAGCATTCTAATTAATCACTGATAATAGCATTTTTCAAATTATAATATGCCATATTGGCAAACCTAGTCTTTGACATTTTGAAGTTGTAGTCTCTTATTTTAAATTTTGTGCTACCTGAAACGTATAATTAAATTCAACTCTGATCTGGAGTACATAAAAGAGATTTTCCATGAAACATTTTCCCATGAGATTTAGTACAATTGATGTTTCAATAAATGTTTGTTTATTATCTTGAAAACATTTTCACTGAGAGAATACGTAGTGATTGCATGAGTAATTTTCATAGCAGTGTATCATGGGTTTCTTTGTATTCCTTCCCTTGTGCTGCTCTTCCTAATTAACACCAGCATTTGCTAAATTTTATTGCAGAAAGACTACGATGGAACCCTGTCATCTGGACCCTGTGATCTCTGAATTTGTGTAAAACTTGTATGTTAAAGGGTACAGAGAAGCGGGGGGAGGGGGGGAGCTGTCATTGGAGAATTTCCTTTATATATGAATAGTTAATGATGGGGTAACTGAATACAAAACAAAATTTGTAGACTTCTACAACTCCTTACCTCTACCTGGAAACTTGTTGCAATGATTATTATTTCAGTAAAACAAGGTTATTGAGATTCCCAAAAGAATGAGATTCCAAGTGGCTTTAGGAATCCAGTATGACAGATTTCCTTGTTGCTGTATGAAGTCTACTTTAAATGGTAAAATGAGCTGATTACGACATAAAGAATCTACCCCTAAAAATGATCTATAGGCAGAGCAAACATGATCAAAAATCACTAGGAAACATTGAGGTTCTTCCATGGGCAAGGCACTCTAAAAGGTACCAGGCTTGCAAAGAATTACCCCTCAGCTCAGTGCTCACAGCTAACTAGCTGTAACCTGCATGAGGACAGGAACTGTATTTTTATTGATGTTGATTTTTGTTATATATATTTACTTATGCCTCAATACTTACAACCATGTCTGACACATAATAGTCGCTAAATAAATATATGTTGAACACTTGAATCAACAATCATTGAAAGAAAAAGAGGAATTAAATGAAAAAAGGACAGCTTCTCTTACAATGTAGCTTTTTAAAAGGAAAATATGTTCTCTTTTTTTTTAATCCTGACCCAAGGATATGTTTTTATTGATTTTTAGAGAGAGGAAGGGAGAGAGAGAAACATTGATGGGTTGCCTCCCGTATGCACTCCAACTGGGGATCGAACCCCCCACAACTTAGGTATATACCCTGACCAGACATCAAACCCACAACCTTTTTGGTGTATGGTATGACATTCCAACTAATTGAGCCACCCAGCCAAGGCTATTATGTTCTTTTAAAACACCTTGATTGTGTAATATTTATACCTACAAAATTATATGGTAAATGTAAATTATTAAGCAAAATATTAAAGTGAACCCACCACCCATTCAAATAACTAGAAAATTACCAATTTTGTGGAAAATACTTGTGTACTTCCCACTGTCAAACTAGGTGTGCCATCTTATGGATCCTAAATGGTACTACCAAAACAGGGTATTATATCTGTTAGTGTCAGGAGATGGTTTTTGCACAGATTAAGAGAATACCTGTTTATGTATATGTAGCTTATTTCCAAAGGAGTTTATACAGCATTTTGAAATTTATTTTCTTTGATAATTCTTAATTTTAGCTCTCTAGGAAAGAAGAAGCCACAGAAATCTAAGAAGCCCCTCACCCCAATTTTCATTGTTTGTTGAACCCAATAAATATTTTCTAGGCACCATTTTATTTTTTGCTTTTGAAATTGTTTGGATCAAGAGACTGAGTCTTTGAAGTAATTGGGTGCAAGTGCTGGCAGGCATATTTTATGAAAGCTGTGGTCAGCTGCTCACACATGATTGTGAAATACAACAGTCTTTTTCCTTTTTATATCGCTGGGAAGTGATGAGGATAGATGGTTTCCCATTGCAACTAGGATGTGTGGAATTCACTCTTTCCATCCCTGCTGATGCACCTTAGCATTTATCTTTTGTCACATAAAGGATCCAATTCCACAGCACTTTGGTTCGCAGTGAACATGGGGAGGTTAGATAGCAGGAAACATTTTTCAGCTATTTCAAAATTATAACTAAAATATTACAAATAAAAGATGAAGAAAAAAGATTCTGATTCTAAAGTAAATTATAGAATTTGTCTCTAATTAAACTTTGTTTTGTTCAAAACAGATCCAAATAGGATTGTTTTGCCTCCCTTCCCACTAATACAATTGGAGACATTGAAGTATTCTAAGGATTGCTTTTGATTGGCGTCCTGAAATTTTATCTGGGACAAAAATGGTAATTCTGTTTAAGGTTGTTGATCTCATGAAGCTTTAAACTGCAGTCTATTTCGCACTGATTTTCAATTTGCTTCAGTATTTGTGGAGGTTTTAATCCCTTCCAAGAGGAAATGTGATCATTATAGTAGAGTAGAAGGCAGCATTTGGACATGGCTGACAGTGCAAGCATTTGCTGTAACTAATTTTCATCTGTATGGATACTTACAACTGAACCAAAAACATCACCTTATCAGTCATAGAGGACTACAGGGGACTTGCATCCAAATCATTTAACTTCTCAGGGCTCCCTTTTCTGCTGAATAGAAACGTAGGCTGAGATTACCTTCTTCCTGCTGCCTCCTGGAAGGTTAATGCATCTCATGATTTAATTATCAGATCCCCTTTCTTTAGAATTTTATCTCGGTTTGGCTCTTGTTATTATTGACTTTAGGCAACAGTGTAAAGTATTATTTCCACATTGAGCCCAATCAGAAGATGGTGACCTCCATATTTCTCTGTTTATTTTGGTCATAAATTTTAAGATTTTTACAAATATTTAAAATTCTGGTCAAAACTTAAAGTATTCTTTTGTAGTCTGGCTCTAATAGTTTATTTAAAACATATTTGAGAAAGCTTTTAGTTTTTACTTCTAGTTCAATTCATGTTTCAAAATGTCTATAATTCATCTACATTTGCTTTTACTCTTAAAATATGCTATCAGAAAATTAAATGACTATCAAGTGTCAATAATATATTTTATAGAAATGAAATTGTTCACAAAAATAAATCACTACAGGAAAAATATCTCACAAGTGTTTTGTGAGGTTCAAATTTCAAGGGGAGAAAAGTAAAGTTTGAGGTAATCCTAATGCTGAAACCTGATTTGGGGGGAAGGAATACAAATGTGTAATTTATGTGTTGAAAAGTTAGTGTATAGGTATCTACTAAATTTCAGAGTTTCAGTTCTGCCAGTGGACTATTCCAGTGAACATAAATCCAAAAATAAAATCATCGCCCATTCTGTGGCTTTCACTTAAATATACAATCACAATATTTTTCTTTAGGCAATTTTGGAAAAATAAGGTGCCAGTGAACATTTTAATTGAAGCTACTATTAAAAGCAAAGTCAACATTTATTCTTCAAAACCTGGTAAGAAACTGCAAAACAGGAATAAAGAATTAGGGCTTTAAAGTCTCATAGATCTGGATTCAAATTCTGTCACTCACAGCCTGTGTGAATTTGAGCAAATTAACCCCTCTCACCTATTTTTCCTCATCTGTAAAATAGATGAAATACTATCAACTATCTCATCCATTGTTATAAGGGTGAAATAAAAGTAAAAGCAAATGTGAACTAGCACCAAACACACACAGAATTAAAAAGCTTGTTATGCCTAATAATGGAATAAGTTGGATAGAAAAGAAGTAAACTGGGTCATTATTTCTGTGAAAACTCAAGCATAAGTTGGGGTCACTGTTGGGGATTTTGTAGGTTATATTTTTTCACTGGAAGGGAGGTTGGGCCAGATAAACTCAGAGATTCCTTCTAATTCGAAAGTACGATTTTAGCAAGTTTAAACTAATCCTGTATGCAATTCACCTTAACAGTTTTGGAGACTATGAATGGGAGGCATTTTGGAGGGTGTTTAATAATTATTCTGGAAATACATCCTAAGTTGGGGCAATAGAGAAAAATCTATTTCCATTTTTGTTGCCATTAAAGGCATGTTGACAGTAGAAAGAAAAAAATTAAACTCCTGTAGCTTTAAAAGTGCTTTATAAAAGCAGTTATCCATTTTAACTTCCTCTTCTATTTCTGCTGATCTTCAGCAAGTCATTTTTAATAGAACACGTGGATCATTTTCTGTTATTATTGGGTTCTAGAGTTTAATCTTTCCCAAAAGACAACTATCCTTTGATAACTGGCCATGTGTGGTGGCACCTACCCTGTAGGGTCTGGGTGTTGACCAATGGTGGAGATTTTTCCATTCTCTTTCCAGTAGAAAAACATTGTGATCAGAACCCAAGGGCAGGATTCTTCCCTTTTGGGTGGGTACCAGCTACACATCCTCTCACTGTTCCCCAAGATACATCTAGCTGAAGAGAAATAGTTACTTGTCTGCTGGTACCTGTGAAGTGTTGGTGAAGCACTGTTAGAATTCCCCAGGGAGGGGTCTCGTGGACCCAGATAAGCAGTAATCCGGAGGTTTCTGACCAGTGGTAAACGGACCCTTAGTAAAACTATGACATGGTTTACACCCATTCACCCTGGTTTCCACTTTCTCCTCCCTGGTCTTCGAGTCATAGCTCCCATTCTCAGACATTCAGGGTCTTGATTTAGTATCCTCCACAGTACACCTTCTCCTAAAGCTCACTTTCTGGAAAAGATGAGTTATTAATATGCTAAAGTGAAATTTAGGTTAATGTCTTATCTCTCTCAGGGATATGCGCATTTCAAACGTTTCTTTTTTAAAAAAATATGTTTTTATTGATTTTTTTAGAGAGGAAGGGAGAAGGGTAGAGAGATGGAAACCCATGAGAGAGAAGCATCAATCGGCTGCCTCCTGCACGCCCCCTACTGGGGATTGAGTCCACAACCCAGGCACGTACCTTGACTGGGAATCGAACCGAGGATCTTTTGGTTTATGGGTTAATGCTCAACCTGTGTAACATCATATATGCATATTTAGTGAAGAATTCTTACAAGTAAAGAAAACGACTCCAATAAAATGGGTAAAAATCATGATTAAGCAATTTATCAAAGAGGAAATACAAAGGATCACAAATATTTAAATATAAAGTAGTATATTTCTGGAGCTAATGTACAGCACGGTGACTATATTGTACGGATTTGTGCACATTGAAAGGAAATTAATTAGAAGGTGGCTGGTGGGGTGGGACTGGGCAGCACGGGCTGGACATGCCCTGAAGCCAACCTCCTGGGGTCCCTCCCTGGCCGGCCGCACCTGGGGTGGTGCCATGGCTTGAAGGGCATCTGTGTAGTGAGCGGGGTCCCTATAGCAGGTGGGGTTCCTCGGCCTTGCCTGCAGGGATTGGGTCAAAACCTGCTCTCTGACATCCCCCGAGGGGTCCTGGATTGCGAGAGGGCCATTCTTGGGTGATGCACCCCAGAATTGGCCTCCCTCCTCTCTGGTTCTGGGGTGTGTCACCTGATAACCACCACTGCCAAGTCACAGCAGCTCGGCAGTTCCTGCATTAAGCGTTTGCCCCCTGGTGGTCAGGGCATGTCATAGCTACTGGTTGGACAGTCGCTTAGCCTTATATATACTAGAGGCCCAGTGCACAAAATTTGTGCACGGGTGGGGTCCCTAAGCCTGGCTGGCGATCAGGGCCGATCTATGGGGTGATTGGCAGGGGGGAGGAGAGGCCCGCTGGCACCCACCTTGACCAGCCTGGCACCGCCGGCTCACCAGCCCCGCCCCTGCTGCTGCCGGTTGCCTCTCTCTGCGGGGCAACTGGTGGGGTGATCGGGGGCCTCCACTGGCACCTGCCTTGGCTGGCCTGGGGCCTGTGGACTGGGGGCAGCTCCTGCTTTGAGTGTCTGCCCCCTGGTGGTCAGTGCGCCTCATAGTGACCGGTTGTTCCACCGTTCAGGCAATTTGCATATTAGGCTTTTATTATATAGGATAGACTAGAGACCTATCCTTAGCACTGCTGCAGAGGTGGGAGAGGCTCCCACCACTGCCACTGCACTCGCCAGCTATGAGCCCGGCTTCTGGCTGAGTGGCGCTCCCCCTGTGGGAGTGCACTGACCACCAGGGGGCAGCTCCTGCGTTGAGCGCCTGCCCCCTGGTGGTCAGTGCACAGTATGGCAACTGGTCATTCCGCCATTTGGTCGATTTGCATATTAGCCTTTTATTATATAGGAGGATACCTGGAAGTTGGCTTACCACACACACAAGTGGTAATTATGTGAGGGACTGGTGGTGTTAGCTAACCTTACTGTGGTAAACATTTCGCGATATCAAATCATCACATTGTATGCCTCAAACTTACACTGTTACATGTCAATTATCTTTCAATGAAGCAGAAAAAGAAATAGTCTATATAGTTCATCCTCTCTTGATTCCCAAGAACTCAGTGCTCTCATCTACTTAAAAGCAGAACTGCATCTTCTTGAGCTGTTAAGATTCACATTAGGCCCAGTCTTCTCCCAATAATATAACTTTGTATTTTCTGCTTCTCCTGGCCAGGTGCCAGGATAGGCCAACTCGGGGACACAAAGAGAACAATTATGACCCACTCAAAACCCTAGTTCAGCTAACGAGGGGATGGCTGCAGGGGATGGCAATGCAGCGGGTGGGAATGTTTAAGTAGTCATTATAACGAGCAAAAACGCCTTGAATGACTTCTCAGTAAGATGCTGTTTTCCCAACAGATTATGGGTGAGCTTTTTAAACTCTGTTAAATGTCAAACCAACTGATAGAGTCAAATGTTGGTAAGCATTCAGAAGGGTTATTTCTTATCAAATAGAGAACCGTGTTGCGAAATCATTATCTGCAGTCTAAAACAGTTGGTAATCTTGGTAGGAACCTCAACTCAAAGGTCTTCTGGGTTTATTGTTTCCTTAACTTCCCTTCAGAAATGGGTAGCATGCAGGGAGAAGTTACCATGGGACACCATGACTGGGAAGGTGAGTGACCCTACTACTGCTAAAAAGGTGGGCTGGCCGATACAATGTAATACCAACCGCCAGAGCAGTTGAAAATTAGAAGAATGATTTGGTGCAAGCTCATGAAAAATCTTCAAGCATGATTTGCTCTGGTCCCCTTTTCAAACAAAGGAGCATGGAAGAAAAATACCCCTGCATTCCAAAGTGCCCCATCCAAGGACCCACACCTTGCCTGCCGTGAGGAGCCGCAGAGGAAGGAATTTACCCCGAGTGGAAAGTTCGCTGAACAGGCTGAGCTGAGTACTTGAAAATTACTTGTTCCAAAAGCCCTTCAGAAACCAGTAATCCTATTAGCGTGGCTTCTGGAACAGTTACCTACCTGCAGTAAAAAGTAATTAGAACTGTCAGCCAGCAAATAATTGCTCTGGTGCCTAAATGAATGGGGACTCTTCTCTGAAAGGAATTACTGTTCCTAAGTGAGTCAGCTCAGCCCATGGTCTTTGCTTTGGTTGCTGACAAATTGGGCCAACTGCCTAAACCAGTGAGGAAGGGTGAGAGGGGTGAGGGAGCTTTAAGTTGAAAACAAGGCAGGACAAGGGCTACCCAAAGTTATCCAGCTGAAAGTCGTCTTCTTTTTTTTTTTTTTCTTTGAAGGGCATTTCTGAGCCACTCTAGCACTGAGCCACCTTCAAGCCTTTCCTAAAAGCATAGGCACCCAAGGCTGCTCGAAGGTCAAGGACTTGGCTGCTGGCTGCATCATAAGACCTCTGAATCTCCGGCCTTTTCCTCCCATTCTTTGCCAGTGCTCACTACATTTACAAGGGAGTCTGGAGGGCAGGAATCCCCACGCCCACAGCTGGGCAACAAGGTCAAGGGTGTCAAAGTAGGTCATTTCCAAAGGAAATCAATGGGAAGGGTTTGGCAAGGACAGGAGTCAATTTGTAAAAGGAAAACATTCCAGTAAATTGGAGCAGTGCCTTCCTAATAAATAACAAAAGTCTCAGATGCTTCTCAGGACTCCTAAAGGGACCCGCTTTCACCTGCTGAAAAGCCAGCTCTACTTCGCTAACATCACTAACAGCTGGGGGAACTGGGGTACAGTGGCACCTACTCTGTGGGGAGAAGATCAGAGTTCTGGCCCAGCCACACCGTAACCAGGTGCACAGTTTTGGGCCAACTCTTAGATTTTCCAGGCTTCTGTTTTGTCACGTGTAAAATGAGAGGAGCACTTATCCTTGGGGCTTCTCCTACTTGGAAATTCTCTGCTGGATTTGGGGCACAATGGGGCTGTGTGGTCCGAATGCTGGCGTTCCGCTGTGGGTAGCGGCTTTGGGGGTGAAGGTTTCAGGAGCTCTCAGGGAGCCTTGTTGAAAGGTTTTTAAAGGGCCCTTGTGCATGGAGGTCCCAAGGGCATGAGTAAGCCCTGGGGGAAACTTACACAAAAATGGCTGCAGATTTGGGAGGCAGTAGAGGCCTGGCTCCATGGCAACTGTGTGCCTAGAGGCTGGTGCAAGTAACCGAGCTGGCTGTTCCTTGCTATTATCCATCACCTTCTGCAAATGAGGAGGATGAAGCATTGCTGGGATGTCATATTGGTGAGCATTGCTGATGCAGAGAGAGGAGGCCAGCCCCCGGAACCACAAGCTTCCTGCTTGGTCTTCCATCCCAGTAACAGCTAATTTGGCAACTCTGTTGCCTGCAAAAATAACAGACCTTATGTATTTGTGCACCAGCCCGTTTTTTGTTCTCTCTTTAGCTCCAAGTTTAATACTAATACTTACTCATAATATTAAATGCCTAACTTAACTGCGGACACATTTACTACTTAGAGACCAATAATATTGGTTTGAATGTGTTGCTAAGAAGACATGAATAATTTCCTGAAAAATTATGCCTGGGGTAGTTGCATAAGTAACAGTAATTAAGCAAATGCCTGAGATAATTATTTACCAATTATTAATTCAAAGCCTATTTTTTTCTCTCCACTTTAGATATACTTTATTATCATATCTATAAAAAAATGTTAATAGAAAGATGTATATTTAATGAGCACCTATTAAGGATGTCATTTGACTTAATGCACTACTTTAAACAGTTTATCAACTATCATGCTTTTATAAATAACAATTTTTAATGCAAGGACAAGGGAAATAATTCACCTATTTTTTACAAATTACTTTGTTCAAAATATTGAGTCAGGATAGTAAAAGCTGGAAACATTCCTTGGCAAGTGGGATGGGGAAACTGAGATAGAGAGCTGAACAAACTGGCCAAGCCACTTACAGCCAGCTAGAGAAGGTCACCACCCTAGAGATAACATCTAGGCCTCTGTTGTATTTCAGATCCAGGCCCAGAAAAGCAGCAAAACCAGGTGGGCAACACCAGGACCAGCTGCAATGACTAAGGCGCTGACCAATCCGTAGAGACCATGACCCTGAAAGGGCACACCTGGAAAACTGATGAGTATTCTGCTGAAACCCTCCCTGGGACCTCCCCTAAGACTCCCACCTGCAAGAGACAGGTAAAAACCCTCAAAACCAAGGACCCAGCATGTGCTCTCCTTCCTGGGAGCACAATGTCTTTCTCTTCCCCTTCACCTTCCCCCACTGGCAGCATCTCTAAACTCTCAGGGTCCCCACAAGACTAGGAGCCAGGGAAGCAATGGACAGCTAACCCCCTGAACCTGTCTCCAAGGCCCCCTTTTCTCTGACTTCCTAGTGAGCCAAAGAAGCCCGCCTCGCCCTCTCCTGTTACTTCCTCTGCGCTCAGCACTTCCTTGTCTCACTGTCCCCAGCTTTAATAAGCCTACCCTCAAAATCACCTGGACTTGTGAAATCTTTCCTGCACAAAATCAAGAAATGACACAATACTGGCCGGCCCTGGGCAGACCCGATCAGGACCAGGTCCCCTGTCCCGCAACAATATTTTGCAGGCAGATTTGACCCTATGCAACTCCTGCACCACCCATCAGACATATTTTCAATGTAACATCCACATTTCTGTAAGCGTTGGAGTGACACTCTTTGCAGAGCACAGGGCCAGGCACCGGAAGTGCTGTAGAATTGAGAATAAGCACTTGAATGCTTTCTGCTTTCATCTCCCTTTGAGAGCTCTTTTCTTCCTCAAGGTTGAAGCTTTCGAGAGCTCATCTTTTTTTCAAGATTTTAAACTCTGTGCAGACAACTCTCAAGTCAAGGTTTTCAGCCCTGTAACCCTCTAGGCCCACATCCCCACTCAGATGGGTATTCTATCTGAAACCAAACTCTTATATCCAGGATGGTCTTAGTCTGGAAGGCTTCTTTTGCTTAAAATGTGGGTGTGGCTAGGGGTGGGGAGAGGGGCAAGGGAGGTGTTCTAGGTAGGAGAGCAGCCACAGAGAATTAGGAATAAAAGTGTGTGTGTGGAGGGGGTGCACTGCCCAGCTCCTGGGGACCCTTCAGACTGGGAGGAGGGAGAGAGGACTGAAGCCGTTAGCACTTGTGTTAGTGTACAGATGGATTGAAAGGAGAACAGGCAAGGGGTTCAGCTAAGGGGCTGTTTTAACATAAAGTGTAACATAATGATAGCATTGATTAAATGACAGGCCATTTTGATCCTTTTGGAGGAGGAGAGGATCATAGACCCTTTGAGGATCATAGACCCTTTGAGAATAGAATGAAAGCTTGGGAGGTCTTCTCCCCAGAAAAATATGCACTCATTTACCCAGTAAGCGATGACACTATGTATAATTCATGGGACCCAGTGGGTGATGAAATAAATGGGTTTGGGATCCCCAAAGGAAACAGATAGAAGTCAATAGGAGACTTGGAAAAGGAAGTCAGTTGGGAAAGAAGGGAACAGGTTTTGTTTCATACAACAGGACATGTGGACACGTAGAGATGTGCTTTTGGCAGCTGTGCAGGTGTCTGGAGCTCTGCGGAGAGACCTGGCCGCATGACTGGCGGGCGATGGTGGTGGGGGCGGAGATCTGAGTCATTTGATTCAATTGCAAGAGTTTACATTTTGAGAATGAATGACCTCCCTGGGTTAACAAAAAAAGCAGAAAGCAATCAATAAATAATGGAGGTGTAGCCCTAGCTGGTTTGTTTCAGTGGATAGAGCGTCGGCCTGTGGACTGAAAGGTGGGGGTTCGATTCCAGTCAAGGGCACATGCCCGGGTTGCGGGCTTGATTCTCATCATTGATGTTTCTATCTCTCCCTCCCTGAAATCAATAAAAATAGATTATAAAAATATATTTTTTACAAATAAAAATAATGGAAGTAAACAGTCCTTCAAGAGTTTGGGATTGCTGTTGCAAAAACCATACATAAAAAAATAGACACCAGGTGAATTCCTAAGTAAATCATTTCATTAATATTTTAAGCTTAAAAATCAAACGCAAGTTGCAAGAATCAGATCAGGTTAGAAGCTGACCATTTAAAGTGATAATAAGCTTAAGATGAACAGATACATCAAGATGGCTGAACTTTTCACAGTCGTTTTCATGGTGTCTGTGTGTTGCCGTGGAAGCAGTGTAAGTCCACCTAACGTGCCTCTGTGATTCCGGCTCTCTGCCTCATCACCTGAGCTGGCAGCTGAAGCAGCAGGACCTTGACCCTGTAACCTGCACTCACGGGGCTTCTGGAGATTGATCTCCTGGGAACCGATGTGTAGATGTAGACTGCTCTCCCAGGAGAGAGAAGGGAAATGATATGGCTCCAAAATATCCAGGCTGCTGCCCACTATATTCGAGAAATCGGCACTCTGATGTTCAGCTTTGGGAATTCACTAGTTCTTCCAACTGGGGCACGTGGCACACCTATTCCAGAGACTGCGGAGGGACATATCCCTGAACCCTCCTTCGGTCACTTTCCCAGCCTGTTGCCACCTTCCCACAGGGTCTGGTGGTCCCTGGACTGCGTGGGTCCAGCTGGGACTGAAGACACAATAGCCACGAACTACCCTGGAACTGAACACTAGTCCTGACTTCTCAGAACCCACATCCTATTCACTACAGTGAGGTCACCACAGCCAGGTTCTAAAGATTATCCCTGAATTATCGGGGTATTTCTGGGGACCGTGATTTATTTAACAAAATAATTGTAGCAGTTTCAGAGGCCCTAAGTCATCTTTACTTCCCAGGGGCTATATAGCTTTGGGGACCTTTTATAGATAGTTATAACCGGCCTAAAAGAACTCCACTCCCCAGAACTTGCAACTACTGGAACACGATTGCTTGTTTAATTTTATAGTATTGTCCCTTATCAGAAAACATCAAGTGACGAGAGAGGTGACTCAAGCCAAGGAGTCCAGTGTCTGGTCCTATTATCTGAGGAGCCACATTTTGGGGTGAACCACAACTCTGGAGCCTTCACTGAAGTTTGGAATGAAGCCCTGAGGTCCACACCTTCCCTCACCATCCAGGAAGAACCAGGGGGTCTTTGGAAGTATTGAAGCAAAGGAAGATTTTTTTCCCTTGGCTCCAAAAAGCTAATTATCCACCACTGCCTTGGTCAGCTCAGTCGGAGGGACTGGGCTGGCTTGCGGAGACCCGTCCTGGGCAAGGGGCTCCTAGAGGGGTCTGTACAGGCCTCATACACGGAATGGGTTTAAATCAAGGAGGAAGCCAGAAGAAGGGTTAAGGCCCAGAGAAGCCATCGGAAGTCCAAGGGTCTCGGAAAGGCTATAAGCAAGGAGTAGGTTGGGGATAAGAAGTGAGGGCTCAGCCCAGATAGATGCTTGTACGACAGACGAGTGAACTGGGACCATCCCTGTGACTGAGGAGGCCATGGCACTGGGGGGACCTGTTCCAATCGAGGATGACCAAAGGGGTGAGCACAGAATGGCTAAGATATGCCAGAACAGACTAATTAGGAAAATTCTAGAAAACAGAGATTCTGTTATATGTTTGATACAGAAATAAAATGCCTACAATTAGAGTTTGATGTTTCCTTGTGTGATGGGCATTTTGTATAACTTTGCAAAGGACCAATAAATGCTCATTAGTAACACAGCTGCCACCAGCTTCCTTCTGGTGTTTTGTGTGGCCTGGTCCCAGCCCCAGTAGCCAACAGGCTCCCCAGCCTCTGGGGCATTAGTAATGCAGCAACTTGTCATCAGGTCTGTTTTTTGTGGAGGTGAGAGGTCTTTCCTTCCTGCCTTCATTCTTGCCATTGAATAGTGATCCCTCGTACCAAGCGAAAAGCTCCCCCTCCTATTGGCACATTGAGGGTCAGCAGGCAGAGTGGGCTGAGCTGCTGGAGGAAGCCTGGGCCCTCCTGGTGCTGTATTTACCTCCTCCAGCTGGCTCGCTGGTGTGCAACCTGGACTCCCACTGAGCCCATTTGCTGCTTCTGTCACCTTGCCAACGGCTTCTCCTCACTCCTCACTGCTCTTCTCCCTCTCCTGTGATTGTGGGAGCAGCTCAGTGAGGCCCCCTCTAACCTTTCCTTGCCTCCCTGTGAGTTTTCCAGCAGGGGCGATGTTCTACATGGGGTGCCCCTCCTGGGAATGACACAGGGTTTCCAGGAGATGAAACAAACAAACAAACAAACAAACAAAAACCTGGGGTGGGGTGGGGGGCGGTGTCATCTCTGTATGTTCCCTCAGCCCTTAGAGCCCCGGGCAGTGCTGGGAATCTTGTCCGTGCTTACTAAAAGAAATATGAAAAGAAATCAAACACATGGACACATTTAGGGCCTGGCAGTTCTGAAAGTTTGTAGGCTGATACGACATGGCAGTACTTTCAAAATCTCAGCTGCCTCTAGCTATTACACTGGGTCCTAGGGAATCTTGCTTTTGAGTGCTGTGGGTGACAAAACCGTGACTTTTCAGTTGCTCAAGGGCAGGAGACCAGGTTTTCCTGAGCATCCTGGTTCTGAAAGGTTCACTTCTGGAAGGTTCTTCGCAAGCCCACCGATGAGAAACTCAGTGTGTCTGGCTGGCATATTAGAGATGTTAATTTAGTCTTCTGCCTTTATTACATGATCCCATTTAAAAGGAAAAACTCCCTAGCACTGTTTATCTGATTGCTTAGGGTCTCATGTTGTGATGTATAAAGTTTTACAGTAATTGAAAAAGTAATGAATAACACCCCAGGCAGTAAACAAATCACAAAGTTCATTAATTCCAAATACCGAACATCAATTTGTACAGTGTAAAATAACATTACCTACAGTGTAAGAATGGGAAAGTGGGAATTAATTTTATTTTAATTTTTAATGTACTCTTGACTGCTCATAAAAGATATTAAACATTAACATAATTTAATATATACACTGGCATTTATTAAACCACTGATTCATGAACAAATTAAGCATCATGTATTTTTTAAGTATTAAAGAATCAATAGTGATAATTAACTGGAATGTCAGAGGAAGTCATTATCAACATATTCTGCAGAATCCCCC